AACACTTTTGAATCAATTCCAGATTTCTCAATTCCAAAATTTCTAGTTTAAATACTTTAACTAATATTTCTTGCTGATACTTTAAAGGTTACATAAGTACTTGTGATGACAACAAACAAGATTAGTGAAGGTTAAATGTCCAAAAAGTGATATCAGTAATGGAAAACTAAAAGCACTGTTCTTTTAACAAAAGTGTAAATTTATTTTCATACCTCATTCTAATACATTTTCTGTCTTTGTCATGTTTCATAAGAACACATTTTAGTTTTTTGGCTAGACTCAGTTGCATCAACCCTTATAAAAAAATATTTATTTTTATTCCAAACCCTATTCAGTTCATTAATGTTCAGTCTTCAAGTATGATTTTATGCCCCTAATTAATAGGCAGAGTCCTATTAACATTAGTTAGAAAATGTGGCACAGCTGTCAAGAGACCAATCAGAGGCAAAGAAAACACCAAGACAAAACCATTAGAGGTTTGAAACGGCATAGCTGTTTCTAAACCTCTTTATCTAAGTAAACCAAAAAAGCAAACACATCATGCATTATATGCGCAGTTAATCGATCTGAAAAATGCAAACGGTAGAAAACTTGTAAAGTGGAGTTTCTGAGCTGATCCTGATCAATATACTAGTAAAAACTAGTATAATGCGAAATGTTGGTCTTCTTTTTGCATTTTAGTTGAGTCTTTGCTGCAACCAAGTCCTCATGGTCTCTAGATTCCTCGTGAGCCACATAATGTTTTTCTCCACATTTTCTGTGGCCACCTGTATGACACGCAGCTGAGATACCTGCTCTGTGATGGACTTGAAGAAATCCTCAACCTCAACACAAAAAGAACAAAAAGCAATGCTGTAAATGAACCTTCAAAACAGATGACCATTCCCTCTAAACAACAAATAAACAACCCACCTCTCTCAACTCTTCAGTGGATGAGAACTGAGTTACAGTACCTACAATTATATTTCGGATTCCAAATGATCCCAGTGGAAACCTTTGACAATGAGACATAAGTATCTTATATTCACGGTAATGAGCACATCACAGCTAGTGTTATACTGCACCTTTCTAACCTAAATAAAAAACAGTGGATGGCACCTACTTTTCTACCAGCTCATTCCAATGTTTCTTCACAAAATCCCATGCAAGAAAATGGCCCACTGGATTTCTGGCCACCATGTATATGAGACTGGGTAAATTCTGTGTTTTTATTACAGTTCCACCCATTCCAAGCTGTAATAATCTACAGGAAAGATGGAGACATACAAGGCATTGCATAATGTTAGACCTCATTAAAATTTCCATTTGCATTCATATGTTTTAACCCCTAGTAAATAAAAGTCCAAAATCAAGCATTGCATATATCATATTGAGCAATTCTGCATTTCATTTTCTTTCTGTGTATTTCATATATAATACCAATAGGATTTTGTAATGTTCTTAAAGGTATAGTTCACCAAAAAATTACAATTCTGTAATTAATTACTCACCCTCAGACCTCCATTCATCTTTGGAAAACAAATTAAGATATTTTTGATGAAATCTGAG